TTTATTGTTGGCCTAATACTTTCAAGTAACTGCAGATTGCCTCTGTAAAGATTATAAGGAACAAGCAGACTGGGCATTCAGAAGGTTATGGTTTTATTGAGTTTTACTCTCGAGCCGCTGCAGAACATACTCTGATGAACTTCAATGGGCAGATGATGCCGAATGTTGAGATGGCTTATAAGCTGAACTGGGCTTCTGCTAGCGCTGGGGATAAGAGTGGAGATAGTGGTTCTGATCACACAATATTTGTTGGTGATTTGGCTCCTGATGTTACTGACTCCATGTTGGAAGATATGTTCAGAGCTAACTACCCTTCAGTTAGAGGAGCTAAAGTTGTTGTTGATAGGATCACTGGACGGCCCAAAGGATATGGTTTTGTGCGTTTTGGAGATCTGAATGAGCAGGCACGTGCTATGACCGAGATGAATGGAATGATTTTATCTACAAGGCAAATGAGGATTGGTGCTGCAGCTAACAAGAAGAATACGGATGCTCAGCAGACATATGCAACTAATGGTATGTACCTGTGGATCATCTTCCTATAGGTTTTAAAATTATTTTTTTTCTATTGTTTCATACTTGCTTGTGTAGGATCCTGCAGGGGTACTGATTATGAGAGCATCTAAATGCATCACTGCATCTTGAAAACTAAACCCACTTACATATTCTGATTTCGTTTTCCATTTTTCTTGATGGATGGATGATAGTGTTTTCATAACAGTTTTCTTTCTAGTCATTCCACCGCAGCGTAGCTGGCATAGCTTCTTTCTGTAAAGACATTTCCTTCCAGCTCTTTCCGTTCCAAGTCTAAGTTTGGGATAACTTAACACAACAAAGTAATAAAACCACTAAACAAAATTCGTGTTTCTCAAAGCAGGATGCCATGCCATCTGCATTTAGGGCCTGGAAATGTCTTCAGATGTCTCCTGTAACCCGTGCCTCGGTTAGGTCAGTGTTTAAATTTTGTGAGATTTTGGTTCTAAAGTACTTTAGAGGGCCAACTATGCTATATATTTGTACTTTCTCTCAGGCATCAATTTATCTGGCTTACTTTCCAGTCTTCCAATTCTTTCAGTTTATTTTGAAAAAATTACTGTCCATCATGTTCCAGTACTTGTGATAGCTAATATGTACAAGTTTTATATGGTTTTTGTAATATTTATTTTTATATATTCCCTTTTTTCTCATCTTTGGATTGGATTTCTTATATCTGCACCTAATGTCACCTGTAACATGCTTGTTTACTTCACATTGTGCTTTATAGTGCAGGAAGCTCCTAATTTCACCTGTAGCTTATCTGGTCCCGTCAATGTACCATTTTGTAGAGTTACTCCAAATTCTGCTGCGGTGCAGAAAATATTCTTTTTTGTTCAACTTTCCGCTGCTTGTGCCTGGACTTACTTTCTCATGCATTTTATCTGGTTTATTCCATGCTGCAGATTCCATTTGCTTTTATTTCTCATTAGTTTTCCCTGAATGCACTTTGTAGTTATGCATATTTGTTTGTTGTTCATGTATTCTGCTTATCTGAGTTTGGGTTTGATAGCTGGGGCAACACAGTAAAATTTAATTTCTTATGTGAACTATTGCATGGGCAGTTGATGCCCCGGAATAAGATAAAAAAAATAAAGAAACGAAATAGTTGAGCTAATATGTTCTACTTCATGCCTGTGGTAGCGCATGGGAATAATTCCTGGTCGTGATTAATGCACCCAGTTGCTACTACATAGTTGGGGTAATTTAAAGATACAGGGTATCATGTAGATAATCTGAGCTTATCTACTGACAGTTTAGCTATAGTACTTAAATTTCTTCTGTTGCAGCCAAGCAGTACATGCAGTGAACAACTCTATGAAGCAAGGATTTCTTGTATTCTTCCTCTGACCTCATTGGAATGCTAACCATTTCTTTATTTGTTTTGTTTACTTACATTACCGCAAATGGTATTCGCTATTTTGGATCATTATTACTTACTAGAATATATGTTAAGCTATTGCTTTTGCTGGCCAGAGTATGGGTGTCCAGTGTTCCAATTGGGGGGTCTGAATTCCCAGCCAGTTTGCCAGCTTTGTTGCTGATGGTTTGTCTTGCCATTGTAGGAGCATACCAGAGCTCTCAAGGAAATTCTTCAGAGAATGATCCAAACAATACAACAGTAAGTGGACCTTTTTTTCTCAAAAAGGAGACTTAGGAGTTCCCGTTACCTTATCTTTCATTATTTTGCAATAGGTCTTTGTGGGTGGGTTAGATTCCAATGTAAATGAGGAGTATCTAAGGCAAATTTTTACTCCGTACGGAGAAATTTCCTATGTGAAGATTCCTGTAGGCAAGCATTGTGGATTTGTTCAATTTACCAGCAGGTTCATATAAATGCTTATTGCTCTTTAATTAACCATTCAGACTCTGATATATGTGAGTTAATTCTTTGTTGCTTGATTGTGTTACCATAATTTCAGGTCATGTGCTGAGGAAGCCATCCAAATGCTGAATGGGAGTCAGATTGGTGGGCAGAAAGTTCGGCTTTCATGGGGCCGTAGTCCTCAAAACAGACAGGTATTGTGTGATGGAATCTTAGTTTTTGCTGAATTCTCACTTACCTAACAGTTGATTAATCCAAGGTGATTCTCCATCAGGCTTCTCAGCAAGATGCTAACAACCAGTATAATGGGAACAGCTATTATGGATACCAACAGCAGGGTTATGAAGGTTATGGCTATGCTGCACCCAATACACAAGACCCAAGCATGCAGAACTACTATGGATACCCTGGTTATGGTAACTATGAGCAGCAGCAGCAGCAGCAGCAGCCTCCACCAGCACAGGAGCAGCAGCAGCAGCCTCCACCTTCACAGCAGGTAGGACACCAGCAATCCCCATTGCTTAATAAATCTTACTATCCTTTCATAGTTGAAATTAGAAAATCGACTGTTAAAAATCTTACTATCCTGAACCAGCCAACTTCTGATGAAGATAACTTGAGCCATACAGTGTTATGTTGAGCCATACAGTGTTATGTTACGAGTCTTCTATTTTGGGACGTTGACAAGGCTGATGAGTAATTTTGTTTGTCTTTCATTTGCATTTGCAGTGACGATCAGATGATTGCTTGTGCACTTCTGGAGCGCTACAAATCAGAGGGACGGTAGAGTCACAGGGCACTGCCTAATGAGACATCCTATAGATATGGAGGTCATGTAGTCGCATGGGTGTGGTTGGACTTGTTCTTGGGGACCAGTGTTAATCGATGATGGCACTCCTGATGTTTCTTTTGTTTGTCGTTGAGATCTTGACCGTTAAAGTATGCTCTGTTGAGACTGGTGTCTTCGTCAGATTGTTTATTTGCTTGTTTCAGAGGCCCGGAACCATTTGCACTTATACCTCCTTTGGTAGTGAGCTGTCGGTGTAGGGTGGTTGTCACACATTTGTGCACTCTTGGTCAGAACTCAAGGACGTTGACAATTTGCGGAATGGAGCATACTGTACATCCATCGGCAAAAAAAAATTGACGTTCGACGGCACATAAACGTAGGGGGTCACCTAAAGATTAGTTTAGGTGGTGGATGGCTAAAGTTTTATAGGTGGCAAAAGTTTAGTCTAATGCTGGACTAAAAGTGGACTGAAAGTTTAGTTGACTGAAGTTCAGGTGGACTAAAAAACTCATGTGCGCCTCTTAGTCTATATTAATCCAGATTTGCCAACTAATAAATCAATTGCTAGTTGGGTTGAAAACTAATACAGTTCACTTTTGTTCCGTTTATTTGGATATCTAGGACAATAAAGTAGATGACTAAAGTTTAATCTATGGTATCAAACATGCGTAAGTGAGATTTTGATGAGCGAGCATTGACGGAGAGGCCGGTGTCGGCCAATCCTGGCCTGATTGGATACGAGATTTTGATGAGTTTAATCTATGTATCAAACATGGGTAAGTGTATTTTGATGAGATCGGATTCAGCGGTGTCGCTCGCGGTTTGATGAGATTATATGTCAAGGTGCGCGATCGGATTCAGCCACGCTCGCGGTTTGCTGGAAGGAGCGCGCTCACACTGGTGGAAGGGCGCCGAGGCTGATGAAGCAGGCAAAGAGCTGTCGTACTGTGCTCTGGTTGTAGGCGGATGGAGTCATGGACATGGAGGTGATGTGATGAACAGGAAAGAGCAACTCCGGCGGGGCAGTCGAGCACGGGCAGATAAGGTGCAAGAGGGAATTTATTTTTTATTTGTAGGCGCTCAGCTCAAATCCCAAGCAAACGGCGACGGCGGAGCGTCGCCATCAACGAGGACGAGGGAGCACAGCCAGAGACAACAGACTACCTAGAAGGCTAGAACTAACCTACAGCTAGATCCGTATGTTGGTGATCCGAGGAAGCCATAACCATGTCATTTTCACCTGTCGGGTGTTTGTTGTCACTCAGTCGCTGTTCCATCGAATATTTAACATATGCATTAAGTATTAAATATAGGTTAATTATAAAACTAATTATATAGTTTACGACTAATTTACGAGACAAATCTTTTGAGCCTAATTAGTTCATAATTTGACAATGTTTTGCTACAGTAAACATGTGCTAATGACGAAATAATTAGGCTTAAAAATTCGTTTCGTGGAGTACCGACGGATTATGTAATTTATTTTTTATTAGTATCCGAACACCCCATACAACATCCTCCCGACACACCTCCTAAATTTTAGCAGCTGGATCCAAACACCCCCTAAAATTCATCAGACTCCACAAGGATGTTGTAACAATCATTTTAATGCGATTTTAAAACTTTACAAAACCAAAGGCATTTACTTAAAACCTCATCTTAGGTAAGATTTCTTGGGGTAATACGGCAGGTCACCCTGATACATCCATGAACGTATGCCTGATAAGTGGAAAACAACTCCCGTGAAACAGGAAAAACAAAGCCGCAACAGGCAACACGGTCAAAATTTCAACCCGGAGCAGCTAATAGGCAACCCCCATCAAGGGTCACCTACACCATCAGCTTCCTAAGCTAACTGTGCATTTTACTCAGGAGCTTCAGTGCCAACGCCTCCTGCTGGGCGAGAACGTCGCTGTCCTTTGCAGTGTCATTGTCTTCGTCGTGGCTATTGAAGTACCTCTTTTTACCCTTGTTAGCTGTGTCCCGGCCTCTGTCTGATTCTGAGCCACTATCCTCCTCTGGCCCCGCTTCAGTCTCTTCCTGCCTCTTGCGCTTAAGTTTCATCTTCTTCTGCAGCTTCTTCTCCCGCAAGCTCTTCTTGTGTTCAAGCTTGTCCTCCTTGTCATGCTCCTGCATTTCTCTCAGCATCTCTGCATATCGCTGGGAAACTGGAGCAACAGAGACAATAAGCAAGTTCATATTTAGAGTTCACATCCTTCGTGCAAATCATGGGTTAGAAACAGAGATAGAACAGACTTTTATCCTTGTGAACCACAGGTTCTAAAGCTACTTCTTCAGCGACAGATGCGAGAGGTGGGATGACGTTGCCCTCATCATCATACTTGACCCTTGTTCCCGATGGCCTGTGCACATTTATCTTCAGTTTCTTCTTTTTGAAGGGTCTTTCGAGTCTGACAAGTATAACTGGTTAGCATAACTTCGGCAAACAAAACCTGGAACTAGATATTTGGTAGCATCAAATTTGAAAGGTAGGAATGTCTTGGTTCGAAAAATGAGTAGCAATACATACCTGGTCACATCTGTATCTGTGGCAGCTTCCTTGGAATGAAGGACATCATCAAGTCCGTTGTCCATATTAGCATCTGTCGTGGGCTCCTTGGAATAAAGGATATCATCATCTCCATCACACACAGTCAAATCACTGTTGATCTTTGGAGTGATGATAGCTTCACGTTTGGAACTGGATTTCATCTGTTTCGTATCAATGTCCTGCATATCCTTCTTCGATACATTCTTCATGTGGCTTATGAAGCTGATCGTTGGGGTAACAGGCAGACCAAGCGAAGCAGCATATGCAGAGAACTGCTCTGCAGAGAACCTGCTCAGGTCGAACACCTTGAGGTATACTGACCTAAGATACGTAATAAAAGCCCTTTTACCCAATTCCTCCAGATTGGGAAATTTAACCAGCACCGAGGCTATATTCTGAGATATCTGCTCCAGTTGTTCTGTCTTTGGCTACATTAAAGCAATTAAGAACAGTAAGTAACAAATAAAAAAGAAGAAATGCAAGAACTAGTGGCAGTTCTATGGTATAAACAGCTGTCAAATTTTATGTCACTTGAGACCGAATAACCATTCTAAACGCTTGTCTCAGCATCTACCACATAGATCAACCATAATCAATTAAGCACTAAAAACAGAAAAACTCTGCTGCCAACCTTTCGAATATGTATAGGTATTTTACTTTCAGTTGCCTTCAATTTTTCAAGCATTGCTTCTTCTTCAGGACAAAGAAATATAAGCGATTTTCCGTTCTTATTGTAGCGAGCTGTACGGCCAATTCTGTGGATGTAATTAGAATGTTTTCTGGGCAATCAACCTGTAAATGAGATAAAAAGGTTACAGCATGAGAATAAGTACAAGAAAAATGGTAGTGCTTAACATAATGGCATACCTGTACCACCCAATCCACATTCTTTATATCCAGTCCCCGAGAGGTTATATCAGTTGAGAAAAGAACTGAAGTAGATTCATTGAAATCTGCAACTATGGCCTGCTGTACCACATAATCCATCTTTCCATCCAAACATTTCAAAGGAATACCAGGACGAAGTTTCTTAAAAATTTCAAAAACAAATTTGACCTGCAGAAGTCCGATATTGGAAGAAATTAGCAAATTTCACAAAATATAACTATGCAACAAAAATGTACTCTTCAGAGAAATAATAACTGATTACCTGCTTGACACTAGATAAGAAGACTATCGTCTTAGAATTTAGATGTCTTTTAATGAAGCTCCAGAGCATATTTAACTTCTGGTCAAGAGGTACAATCATGGCATACTGCTCAAGAGTATCTGGAGTGGCTGTTCTGGCTTCCTCATGCACACTTATATATTCAGGGTCCCTTAGGCTAACCCTTGCTAGGTCTTTAACGGACTTAGTTTGTGTAGCAGAAAACAGTAAAGTTTGTCTAACTTTGGGAATCTGAGAAATGATAGCATCAACCTGGGTTCTGAAACCACGATCGAGAATTTGATCTGCCTCATCAAGCACCAACATCTGTTTTCCCATAGGGAAAGAAAAATGAAACAAGAGCACTTTATTAGATTACCAAAATTTTTAAAAAAATGGTATTCACTATAACCATAGAACAGGATATGCTTGATTACCTGGAGCTGTAAACAATCAAAATTGGCAGTTTCGTTGAAATGCTGGACTAACCGCCCTGGCGTGCACACTAAGATATTCAAGCTGTTCACACGTTCCTTCTCTAGCTCGATACCCTTGCGCTTACCAACAATGACACCACCACTAAAGTTATGGAACTTCCCCACCTCCTGTGATCACCTTAAAAATCTGCCCAGCCAAATCATTTGTGGGGGAGAGAATAATGCAGCCCACACCATCCTCTGGACCCCATCTCTCCCTGTACAGCTTCTCTAAAACCTGCAAAGATGTGAGCTCATAAGGAATATTAGCTGTCATGATCAACCATACTTCTTACTAGCCACTGCTGCCCGCGCTTCAGCTGCAGGTGATGTGTTTGGTATAGAATTTTTTTGAGAAATATGGCTCATATGTCTAATATGTTTTCTCATCGTGTTGGTACGAAGGTTGGTCTCAATATTCTAAACGAACATAGAGGTTGGTTGTCATTACACGGTGCCTATTCTAGGCCAGCAAATCAATGGCATGTTAGTGGAAAGAAGTATTTGATAGAGTTGGGCTCAAGAAACTAACACATCTAGATTTAAAGCACAACATTGGGTATGATTACATTATAGGTGAAAATAGCAAAAACTACAACACAACTACTTTTCCTAACGCGAGGGTCTACAAAAAAGTGAATTAAGATCCATTCCCCTTAGGCGAAACTACAACATGCATCCAACAACTACGGACGACAACAACGGCAAGAGTACAATACAGGAGGATAGCGACGAAAAGCACTACTACTACGGGTACAGCATCCCAAGGCAACTAATCTCCCTTGGAACCACGCATCTTTATGCTTGTGCTCGGTGGATTCTTCTACCGCCCTGGCTATGGATCTACATCTTCTCGTGGCAATAGCTGAGTGAGAGGAACCAAGAGTTTTGCTTCTAACACTTCCGAAGGTGGAGGTGCTGGCGGTTCTGCATCACCGGTTCTCCTTCCTTTAGGCGGGTGGATAGGGATCCCCTCCAAGATAGGGGTATCCTGCCTTTCATCAACTAGCGTCCTCCGCTTGGCCCTAGTGAACAGATAGGCCTCACCCAGCTGATGAACATGCCGATCTTCGGCCTCCTTCAGAGCTTCTGACATGGCAGTCTCCCGGCTCTCAGCAGCTGTAGCACTGGCATGCGCTTCGGCGAGCTGCACTTGGAGCATTCGAGTGAAGATCTTGGCTTCTTCGGCGCGCCGGAGACACGCCCTCAGCTCCAAGGTTTACCGGTCATACTGCTCATCCAGAGCAAGCAGGTACGTGGTCAAGTGCACCACGGTAGGACTATCTTCTTGCGCATCCCGCCCTTGCAAAGCCTCCATGCGAGCCCTCCATGCCCGCCGATTCCTATCCAAGGGTGAAAAGAACCTCATGGGGGTACGGGCAACGGGCTCTTCATAGAGCTGGCAAAGGTATCGCAAGGCTTTGCGGGCCATAACCTGGTAGGTGTTGTAACACCCTAGGTGTTTAGGCTTCCACTAAATTGCATGTCATTTCATAAACATGTGCATTATCTATGTCATCATGTCATTATCATTGAAACATACATATGCAACATTTTAAATTGTATGTGTTTCATGCTTGATTGCTTAGAGTGGTAGTAGTGCAACATGTGAATGTAACATGAAACTCTCATACTTTGAAACATGGCAACATGATAGTAGTATGACAAGTATAAAATAACCACAAGGTCCTGAAACATGTGAAACATGGAATTGAAACATATGAATGAATTGCTTGTTTTTACTTTCTTTATCACATGTGAACATTAAAGGTTGGTATAACAAATTGGTAAAGTGATTGATCATGGTCTATTACACCTTAACTATACTTAGGTTACTTGTTGGGACATTGTTCATGTAGATCAAAATGACCAAAATGCCCTCAAGTGGAAGTTTGACTTGAATTGACCCTTGGAGTGTCATTGTTTGACTGTTTAAAAAATCCAACTTAGAGACTTTGCATGGCTATGCACTCTTTACAAAAGTTGTAGCAAATTTATCAAGGAACAAAAGTTGTTTTATGACCAACTCATGAAAATGGCTAGAACATGCTCAAACATGGCCCACAAGTCACATGTCCATGCTAATTTCAAACTTAGCAAATTTTCTAAGTCCTAAAGTGAAGTACAGTTTCGCGTACCGATGTTTGAAGACTTGTATCTCCCTAACCAAGCCAAACCAGCTTGAGCTCCAATGGAAAGAGTTGTAGTTCACATATAGATGATCAACTTTGTTAACAATGGCATAGTCTAGATCGTCACGGATTAGGAGCTAATCATCGTCAAACCTGCTCTGTCAGTCATCGTCAGGATCACTGAATCGTGTTTTTTCTGAAACGGTTCAGTAGTGTTGTGGCCGACCGGTTCAGAGGTTGCTGGCCGCGTGGCGCCACCCGTCGCCGCTCGCCTGAGCGCGCAGGCCACGCGCCGTGGACGCCCTGGCACGGACAGCCGTGTCTTGAGCACCCCGCGCACCTGCCCACCGCACTCGCCATTCTCACTGTCGTCCCCTTCCTCCGCGCGCACGGCGACTAGGACACCGTGACGCCGCCGAGCTAATGCCACCAAAACCGAGCGCCATTGCCCGATTCCTCTGAACCACAGCACCATCGTGAGCCTCTCCACGTCCTCGACCCCACCGCCACTCCATTTTCGCCTCAGGTAGATCTCACCGTGAGCGCGGCTCCACCGGGTCGCCATGACCGCCGCCGGCCGAGCTCGCACGTGGCCGTGCTGCTCGAGCCCCTTATCGCCCCTTCTCTCCCTTGCGCTAGCTTCTGTATGTGACACTGAAGCTCATTGAGTGAGCCACTAGGGCCGTGACGTCGCAGCCTCGCCGGAGCCGGCCATGCCGTGACCGAGCGCCGCCGTGGCCATCGCCACCCCCTCTAGCTGCGTCTTTTGCTGCAATAGATGGTTACCCTAGGTCCGCTAGGGTGAGGCAAAACTGTTGGCACCGTTGCCTTCGCCGGAGGAGCCACCGGTGGTGAGTTGCGTCGTCGTCTTCCTCCGCTCCCCTGCCTGTCTCGCTGACGCGCGGGCCCCTCCCATCAGTCAACGCGGCTGAAGCGGGAGCCCAGCGTGGGCCGCGCTGCGTCTTGGGCCACACCAGCGTTGTTCGCGGGCCGCCGTTCCTCGGGCCGGCCCAACAGCAGTGAAAGGATTTCTTGCTTTGTTTTGTTTATTTTGTTTTCAGAGATTTGTGTGCATGATTCAAAAATATGTATTTCCTAGTTGGTAGATCCAAATGCTATGGTTCCAATTTTGTTGAGTTCATGATAATGTCTAGTATTTAATAAAAATATTATATGGGCACATGTTTTAGAAATTCTGGATGAATTAAATAGGACTTTGAAATGTGTTTTTGGATACATGCAAACTTGTTTGAATTTTATCTTGAGTTTCTGTGGTCCAAAAATTATGAAATTTTGTGGGTAATCTATTATTGCTTAGTAGAGGCTCTGGTTAAAATTTTAGAGCTAGTGCATGTGTAGTTTTTGAGTTATAGAATTTTCTTTTATTAATGGATGGATCTTGTATGAATTTTCATAATTTTTCTATAGATCCAGTAAAGGTAAAATTTGGTGAGTGCTATTCTTATGCTTGAATGATACTAGGAAAAATGTGAAATCTATTGCTTGACAGTTTTCATTAGGGTTTCCTAATTATGCTAAAAATAGGCATGCCACCTGTTATTTTGGATACAGCAAGTGCTGCTTGCTCAATGGCTTTGAAATTTTTATGGTAGTCTATGTGAAGCATGAGATAGCTACTGTAATTTTTGTAGATTTTTATGAACAGTTTTACTATATATTGCTTTAATCACCTAATTAACTAAATAAATTAGAAAAGGATATTAAATGATTTATTTAGAAGTTGGCATTATACTTTCTAGTGTTCCTCTGGTATGTGTAACAAGTTGGTAAACTTGGTTTGGTCAAATTAGGCTTTTGCATCATCATCCAATAATTAAGTTAGTAACCCTGTCATTGCGGGACAGATTCTAGGTTTACTGGAATTTGATTTGGTTAACTTAAGAATCATGCTTTGATGTTTACAAATGAATTATAGATAATTTCATAAGCTTTCCAGAATGTCCTCTTGCAAGTCATTTGGATCTGTAGAACTCTGGTTGTGATTGAATTAAGGGACTATTTGTGTGCATATGAAGCTTTAAATGTTGATTTATGTATGCCTTTACTATTTCTAAGTTTGTGGTAATGTTCCTAGGTGTTAGGCCTTTAACTGAAGATGAGCATCTTTATCTTAGGTTATGCAAGTTAGGTAAGTTGATCTTGTTCTTCAAGTTAAGTTAGATACCTGTTTTAAAGCGATTTGAATAGAGCTATTCTTAATCGGTAAACGAGTGTCCAGTAATGTTTTCGTCAAACACTTACTGTGATTCATTCATCATGAGCATCATGTCATTCCTTATGCATCCATGATATTTATCTCGTGCATCGGCATGCAATAGGTGTACCGAAAGGAGTGACCCTACTGGAATTCGAGGAACCGAGCGAGCAGCAGCAGTCGACACCGGAGGTTCAGGAGGTGCAGCCTTTAGAAGAAGTGCCAGACGAGGTCGCCGTTGAGTGCCCGGATCACCGTCCGTGCAACTTTGTGAAAGACAAGCCCCGGAGCATATTAAGCCTCCTAATTTCTGAAATGCAGTTACATTATTATTATTATATATCTATATATATATTGTTGCATTAAGTTAGGTGTTGGATGCAAACAATTGCTGCATTGGTTCTCCAATCCTTGTCTAGATATTGTTACCACGAATCCTATGTAGCTCAGGCTCATGTAGTGCTTAGCCCCGCTTAACGCGCGGTAGAAGTCGGGTGATTTCTGTCACTGCGAGAT